GTGTGTTCTGCCTAATGTCACAGGGGAAAAGAGTATTTCTCCATCGTGACAGTCTTCTGAATATTTAAAAACAGATCACATCCCTTCTCATTGTCCTTTTCTCCAAACCGCAGACACCTAGTTTTTTCAGCCTTTCCTGCTTACCTTGGACTTCTCTGTCTGCATGTCATATTTCTGTGGTCTCTTTTCTCATACTTAGCCTAAGTAGTAGTACCAAGGGGCAGAGATTGGGTTTTTGTTCTATGTTTGTCTGGCTCTGAGTGCAACGGAGTCCTGATTTATGACAGGCCTGTAAACACCACTGCACTGCAAATCCCAAATCTCAAACCTGCGTGCTCATAAGTCTGTGACATTTACCACAAAGCTGTTTATATCCAAGCCTGGCAGTTTCTGAGTTCTTTGCAGTTATTCAAGGATTATTGTAATTCTTTCCACATGTACAGGAGCAGCAGAAACTCCTTGATGGTTTATTTGCAGCTAATAGGGAATTAGAAAGCAAAATAAATGGTTGGCCACAACAAATCTCCCTCCCTGACTCTGCTGCCTTGGTTCTTCAACACTGTTAGAAATGACCAGGCTTTCTAGCTGATAGCTGCTCCCAACTCTGTCAGAATGTGGTTTTAACACATCTTGAGGTCGCAAAGACCTCTGAGGTTACTTAGTCTACATCCCTGCAAAAATTGTTATGAATAATTAAAACAACCACTCCAGCCGGCTTCAGCCAATCAGATCCCTTTTTGCATTATGTCCCTCTTATTCCCCACAGCCACTGAGAGCTGTATTTAATGGGCTGAACACAAGTAGATCAATAAAACAGCAAGATACGTAGCAAAGTTCTGTCTTTCTATTTGCTTGTGTGTGAACCCCAGCACAGAATATACAGGATAGAGTGGACTTCCTGTTTTATTTAGTTGTTTTTTCTAGGAGAAAAGCTGCTTTTGTTTTTCTTTTTTTAACGTAATTCATTCTCTATTCTGCCTGGACCATGCTGGGTGCTGTGGCTTACTGTGACAATTAGAGAGCTCCTTTGCAGCTGCACAACAGCAAATCTGGAATTGTTCTGCCAAGCCTGCTCATCCTGTGTTCTGCAGGTGCCATGTGATAGCAGCTGCAGGGAGGACCAGACCCGTTAAAGGAGCACGGCCAAGCTTCTCTAGTGAAAAGCAACACTTGGGATGACTAGAAGCAGTAAGTATTACAGGCACTTTATTTGCTGTTTGCTTACCTTGCACACTACAGAGCCCTTTGGCCACATTCAGCTTGTTTCTTCCTGGATGAACATTCCCTTATGCACATGAATGTTGCATTTGAGGATACAATATCAAAAGGAGGCATCATCAACTGGATTTTTGCTAATTAGTAGAATTTTAGAAAAATTAAAGTGGCCAGGACAAGACGGCACTCTGAACCCTGGGCTGTAAATGGATACAGCAGATTATTTTGCTTCCATCCACCTCTCAAAACCTGCTTAGCTTTTCCAAGAATGCAGAGCACCTGGCTGCAGAAGATGCGCCTCAAAGGGAGTCTGAAACTCTAAACACCCCCCCACCCCTCCCCGCAGAAAACAAACACAATGACAACAAAAACCCCTTTGCTAAAGAGGATTGTTTCAGGCTTACGCTGCTGGAAGGCCTCTGACTACAAGAGCAATCAAAACTGGAAGGAATGACAGGGACAAACAAGCCACCTGCAAACCAAGGCAGACTACAGGAAGTGGACCTCTGACTTTTTAAAGCACCTGGAAATTATCTGACATCCAAGATCTGAGCAGGAAGAGTGAAGGCTATAGGCTTGAAACATTGCAGCACTGTGCTAGAAGCTATCCCAGGAAAAAGTGAGGGAAAGGTAGAGTCACATGGCCCTGCAAGTGCAGAGCCAGATGCAACTTAGCTTTGTTTTCCACATCCTTTAATTGAAGTGAGACAACATCAGAATGATGCCTGAAGAGGCTGAGGGAGATGACCTAATTCAGCATGGAAGCACTCCAGTTGCAGCGTAGTTTTATCTGAGCTCTCTGGAAGAGCTGACAGCAGACAGAACACCCAGGGTGCCATTACCTCTGCCCAGGCCTCCAGCAGACCCAGGGATCTCATTGTAATGTTTCATCCCTGTCAACAGGAATAATTAATAATGGAAAAAAACGGAGTTTAGCAACAAACTACAAATTTCCTCAAGACTCTTTTACTCTGAGAGAGATGGGGGAGATTTAGGGTAGGGCTCAGGAAGGGAGAAATCTGTTACAGAAGGAATTCTGATTTAAATTGTTCAGTTTACAAAATCACTGTTGCACAAGGGGAGACTTTAAACACAGGAAAATGGAATAGAAATATAAGTCTTAGATGCACAAGAAGATACCCCAAAAAAAGTGCCAGTGAAAAAAACACTGGCAAACAAGGCAGCCCAAGAAAAGGAGGGTAAAGAAGAGATGAGTCTGTGGAATGCAGTGGCAATGGTAAAAGTGAAGCTGAGCAAGAGGATTTAGATATGTGAGGAATAAGCTGACTATTAATAGGAAGGAATGGTTTAACTAGAACTAAGTTAATGTTGTACATAAAGTAGTAAGTTTGGATTAATGTTGTTATCGTTACTAAGGGCTGAAGGCCCGCTGTGTTTGATAAACGCACAGAGCAGTAGTTCCACTCAGGTCGGTGCAATCAGAAACACCCTGCATGGCAGGTCTGCTTTGTAATCTGGCAACTCCCCATCTCCCTAGTGGGTGCAATTCATAGAGGCACAACAGTGTGTTTAGTATTGGGCTCATCTTACTCTAAACGCATTACAGTGGCCTCTGGTGTACAGCATAACAATGCTGTAGTGTGTGTAGTTATTTACATATCTGTTCCAAGTCAAATGGTCTTGTAGGAGTCGGTTTTCCTTCTCAATGATCCTCCCTGGACTGGGCATGTCCCATACTAGGCTCTTTCAATATTACTGTTTCCTATTTTTTAGCACATCTCAGGGCCAAATCGACTGAGTTTCTAATTACTCTTAAAGCATCCCTTAGATTTATTGACTTTGTATGTGTCACCTGCAGTGTTAAATCAAGCACTTTGGAGTGCCGCAAGGTAAAATAATTGAATATGGGAAGAGTGCAAGTTTTGACATACCTACCCTATCTGGACCAACATAAGGCGAGAAATGCTTACACATTAAATTCAGCCTATGCTGGCTACAGGGAAATGCCACACATTTTAATTCCTGAGCTACAGGAGACATCTGCTGGCATCCACAGTGGGAGTGTCATGCATTTCAGAGGAAGGAAGAAGTAACAGGTGAAGGAGTGTGTGCTTGAAACTCCCCCACATATTGTGGAGAACAAGAATGAGCCTTCGGTAGGACCTACTGAGCAAGGTAGCAACGATGTCTAATCAGTGGTCATAACGAACTCTTTCTATATATGGGAAGTTTCGAAAGAATTCAGGACAAGGTGAAAATGAGGAAATTAAAAGGTAGAGAGGAAAGTAAAAGTTAATATAAAGCAGGAAAACATCTAGTGACTAGTCTATATAATCAAGCCCAAGGGAAGTGCTGCCTACCATGTGAACACAGTGAAGCAGGTAAAATAAGCAAGCAGGATGTTGACGTAGACCAAGATTTGGCAAAGGAGAGGGAGAGAGACTCCAGGGGAAGATGTAGAGAGACACTCTTTCATCCTGCGATTTCCTTTAGGACTTTCTGTGTTTCAGTACCCATCTGCTCACTTCCCTTCTTAGAGTCTGCACAAGGCAGAGCTTTGAGAACTGCTGCACAGATCAGTCGGGGGTACTGTGTCAGTCTCCCTTACAACAGATGTCTGTGACATTTCTGAAAGGTGCCAGAGCTTCTAAATGCAACAGCTGCATTGCTGTGCACATGCTCCACTTTGGTTGCTCCGCAGTTTGTTCCACAGGCAGCCTGCAACTGTTAAGCTGTAGGAACTGGTGGAACTCCCTACACATTTGTTTTGTGGCTGCAGTCATTAAGTGAATCATGAGCCTTGGCAAATCTAGATTCTAACTATCTTAATCAACAATAGCAAGTAAGCCTGGCCTACAGCCTGTTTCTAGAACTGTGACATTGACCTTTGCTGTACCGGTTCCAGCAAGTAAAAAGAGCACTCAGGGCTTGTTTACTATCTGAACAAACTTGGCCAAATCTCTCATCTGTTGTTTCCATTGAGTTGTGTTAGCCAGATGTCTCTGATACGTGACAGCACACAGAGCATTTTGTATAGAAGTCCATTTTCCTCCTCTCTCTCTGCACCCATTCTCAGGTATGGTTTTGTAATAAGGAACAGCAAAAATAGGGACTCTCTTCCTGCCTCCCCACACAGCAGAGGGGTATTCTCTAAGGTGCCGCAGCCAGCAATGTTCTTTGCTAGGAGACGGGCTGAGGGAGAAACAGAAGCCAGTGCTGAGCTGCAGAGCTCCTCACACACTGGACTGAGAGGGTCCATCTCCTCTTCCCATACCCCTCAAAAAATGCAGTCAAGCCCCTCCATCAGGTTCTGGAACACCAAAGGTTGACTTGGATGCAGCTGAACTCCTTTTGGGGGTGGGGTACAAAGGTAGGGGGCCCAGCTGAGCGCACAGCCTCCAGAGGGAGCCTTAAACTAACTGGATAGGGGGAACAGGCCTGGCCTGGAACCGCTCCTCTTCTTTCCCTTTGCACCTCAACAGAGACATAAAGCAGGGACCCTTTCACTAAACTCAACAGTAACCCTCCCCCGCAACCTGTGAGAAGCAGAGTATTTGCTTCCCACAGAATGAAAACATTTTTAGAAGCTAATTCTATACTTCAAAAACGTTTTAAGCTGGAAGATATAATGAAGTGCCCAACAGGACTCTTGTACTTCACATTTCAGGGACCTGCTGTACTGTTTTGTGGCTCATGGTGGGTGCAATAGCTGAAAGGTAAGGAATTAGCACCTGAGGACATGCCATGTCATGCTATTTCCCATTGCAGATCTCAGAACTAAGTGTGTGCTAAAATGCAACATGCACAAACACCAACACACATTCTAGCTGAGCAGTAGTAAACTTTATTGAGTTCTGATTAACACAGGATCATTGCATCACAACCAGAACAAATGAGAAAGTGTCTCCCTTTGCCTATATCAGTCATTTCTCAGCTCAAAATTTGATTGTGCTCAACAAAATCTCTTCAAGCTGAGTTGAGGAACAGAAGTAAAAAAGTTAAACATTGACTGTGTGCCTGACTATCCCTGCTAGGCAAACCAGAATGGGAATTCTGCACATTTCCCACTTGGAAATCTTGGTACTTCTTGGGTCTGTAACCATGTCCCAGAATGCATGAAATACACCAAGGCTGCAAGAACTGCTTCAGTATGGAATGAAGTTCCAAAGGAATTTGGAGAAGCAGTTAGATCAGATAATCTTTCTCTGTTGAATGCTTCCTACAGGTTTAACCAAGAAATCTTGGCATAACTCATGTTTGCTCTCAGCTTTACAGTTTAGCCTTGAATTTGTTCAAGGTTGTCACAATGCAAGGTCCTTCACAGTGCTTTATAATTCCCACACTATCTCCCAGAATTTGTAGCTTCTGGACACAAGCCTGCTCAGTTCTATATTCTCCCATTGCATGTACATAAAATTAAAACCACTGTCAATATACTAACAGCTGTGGCTTCAATACATCAAGGCAACAGGAAAAGACTGTATCTACAGCCAATGTAAAATAGTATCTCATACTGACATGTGCAATTAGGTATTATGCTAGATCCTGAAAATTAAGTGGACTTTGGCTAATAATTGTGATCTCAAGTTTTTCACCAACAACAGCTGAATGTTTCTTCAGTAAACAAAGAATCAAAGCTTAAAAATATCCCCTGCTTCCATGAGGAAGTACATAAAAGAAGTGTGTTTAACATGAGAGCTGTCAATTAGCAGCATTACTGCTATGGTATGTTTGGCTCAGGTGCAAGGTGTTTTCACACCTCCAACACTTTATGAGCTCTCTCCAGAGTTATGGCTTAAGTTTCTGAATGGCACGTATCACACTGTCCAGAGGGTAAGTAAGTAAGGCATTAGAGGTAAGGTATTAGACAAGTAGTAATTCCTAGAGCTTCTCAATTCATTATTCATTTTATTCAGTGCTGCATTCTTCTTTCTGTCTCATCAGTCCCCAGGAGGTACTTCCTTGTCTTCACAGACCTGGCAAAATCCAGTTCAGCAACTTCATAGCAACTTCAAAACCAAGGAAACAAGCCTGAAATGGAGATGGGAAACAAGGAACATATGAGCATTAGACACCTGAAGTAACAGCTGTTTGGAAAGGGACTTTTCAAAAGCTCAGGAGTACGACCAAAAGGCCACGAGTGAATCTGCTCCCACTTTAAATGGTAGGGTCTAACAGTTGACACTGCACATCAGAAATCCTATCTCCACTCTGCTGGACAGACATGGCAGTGTCATTATGTCTGGTTCAGGATCACTGATATGGGGGCCGGGGGGACATGACAACCTGTTCACATGCTCCTATGCCCTCAAGAAAAGAAAGCCAGCAAATATACTCCTACCTACAGAGCACCATTAGAACAAGCCAACACAAATAGGAGTTTAGGGCAAATCCAATAATCTGATTTCTGCTAATGTGACTTTACAGGCCCATTCTGGTTCCCTAACTACAGGGACCAGAACTAGTGTTTCAGAGCTTGCAAAGATTTCCCAGAACAGCCAATGTACAATCATTCCAAGCTGCTACACTTAGCCACTTGTTCTGTAACCACTAGATAGCCTGCAAGTGGCCAGCTCCAGGCAGCCCCCAAGACCCTGCAGTTTACTTACCGCATTAGCTGGAAAGGCCCTGATCATAACAGCTGTGAACCCTTTATACAGGGAGGACACACCTTCCTCTCGGATAAGCTCCCTCAACACATCTCTGAAGCCATTGGGATATTTTCCTGGAGGAGCTGTTAGGGGAGGCAGAACACACCTGCTAAGATTTGTGGACACTGAAGATGTAACAGATGCAACATGCTGAGCCTCCAAACCTTCATCATCTAGGCTTAGATTGCTGCACAGTATAAGTGACTCCGTACACTGAAGTGCAGTAACTTTATTTACAAGAAGTATGATTTTCTGAGCCAAAATTATTTCAAAGCATCTTAAGACTTTTCAGACAGTAACTGACAAAAAAGAGCAGGGACCAGCTGAACAGAAGTCACTTGCTCATCCACAAAGGATTTACATAACTGGAACCCCTGGGAGAAAACAAAAAAATAAAAGAAAAAGCAGAAGAAGAAAAAGGAGGAACTTATCCTAGAAGTTAGAAGGCCACAATCTCCAATCAAGCCTGGCCACTAGTAGTTACAGTCAGCGGTAGCTGCTGGGAAGGAGAAGGAGGGAGGAAGCTCAGTAAAGCTGGTCTGCATGAAACAGAACTGGTTTACTCTAAAATGAAGTGATCCTCTCATACAGGAAAGCCAGGAATGGCAACCACTTTCTCATGAAAAGCCCTAGCTCCTCAATGTGCTTAAAGAACATGACTAGATAAGGATACATTTGTCTGTCATCTCACCTTGGAAATCAATACTAGTAATTATCCTTACCAGCTGCTTCAAGCCACTAATTCACAGGGGTCACAAGTAGACCACATTACCTATCAGGAAGTTTTGGTGAGCAGCTCAGTGGAACAGAGGTGTGATATTCTGTAGCCCATTCACCCTTTCCTTGTACGGTGTGAGCATTACAGAAGCAAAGTTGACAATTATGGAGGAGGGAAAAGAGGAAGATTTTTCTGCGCCAGCAACCCCCACTGGTCACATTGGGACAGGAGCTCTGCCTTTGTCATCAGCACATTACAGAAAAATGCTGAGGTTTTCTCGGGGGTGGGGCAGAAACTGATGATAGCCTTGCTGCAAGGCTGTTGTATGGGGACAGTCTTTGGGAGGAGTACTAGACGGGCCTTTGAAATGCTTGGAAGTATGGCTGATATTCAAGGTGCCTGGGCTTCAGCATTCTCCCAGGGGACTCAGGTTGACCCTGTTACAGAAGGAAGGTCAGCAGGGTGTGCAGGCTCCATACATTTTAGGAACACCTTCAAGTTCGTCAGTCAGATAAAACAGTGGATTGACAGGGCACACAGCTACTGGGCTGCCTGCTCCGCCTGCATTTTATTTTGATATCACCTGCCTGAACCGAGGCAATCATGTCTGAAATGAAATGATCAAATGCTTTCACTGGGCTGCAGTTATAATAAACAGTGGTTATACATAGTTCTTATGCAGCACTTTTCCTCCTCAGCTCTCAAAAGTGCCATACAAAGGAGGTTGGTATTATGATCCCCAGTTCACAGCTGAGGAGCTGGGGCAAAAAGGCTAAACCAATTTACCCAAGATCACTGCGCTGGCCAGTGGCAGAGCTGGAAACAGAACCGGGGGGGGGGGGGGGGACGGGGCGTGAGTCCCAGTCTGGTTCTCTACTTCACCACACTGCCTCCCACCTAAAAGGATGCCCAGTCAGAAGGCTGCATCACACTGCCCACCCCCTCACAGCAAAGCAACCTTGTGCGCAACTGACACCTTGCTCACCAGTCTGGAAGCGGGATTTCAGCACATCTGGAGGAATGGCAACAGCCCAGTTGAAGATCCCTGCCATGCCTCCAGCGAAGAGAACCCGGGGCACACTGAGGTCACTGACACTGCAGAAACATTGAATAGAAAACATGTCTGGTTTTACATAGTGGAAGACCAGCAGCACAGCTTGCCTGAGTTGGAGAAAACATCATAGTGCTACAAACCCAGACTGAAAACACATCTTGGCTGGGCAGGAATTCAGCGAGCAGCACACCTGTGGTCAGAATGTGCTGTCTCCACAGAAAAGGACACACCAGCAGCACACACACAAGGACTGCCTAAAACGCACCTTGTGAGATGGGAGCATGCCCAACAGTAAATACTTCCTAGTGGTATCACTAAGGGAAGAGGGCAGGAGCTGAGAGAGAAACAACTTCACATCCTATGCAACTCTCAGTCAAAGCCTAGAGCAAGATGAGTCAGCTTAAAAAGAGAGAAACAGTGAAAGATATTCCTCTGGCCATTTTGGTCATGTTGCTCTAACCCCTCACTTAGCTGGAGAGACTAATCTGCAGTGTCTAGGGAAGTCAGGGACATGCTGATTTAAGATTCCACTAACCTCTTTCCCTCAGGGGTCAGAGTGTTCTTCAGCCATTCGTATGTCATGAAGTACATTCCACTGGCTGGAACATCTAGTAGGGCAAACAAAGACAGACCAAGAAGTGGGAAATAGAATGAGCTCTGGGATCATGGCAGCAGCCAGGATCCACGTCCTGCAACCAGCTCAGCGATGTCATTGGTATAACCAGATTCACTTTCTGAGCTTCCCTAGGGGCACCATGCAAACTGCCAGTCTATGCACGAGCATTTCCACAGGAAGGTGAAGGGCACAGGCTGGGGAGTTTCCATGGAAACTTCTGTTCTTAAAGTGCCTGATTCAGCAGATCTTCGAATCAGACTTACCTGGCTGCTGCTCACTGCCTGACTACAAGAATGGTTTAAGCTCCCTGATGCACTGGTGAGCAGCAGAGCAGGTCAGTCTCGGGACCCTGGAGGTTTTTGCATGGGCCACTTGTTCTAATCAAACTGTTTGTATTGTAATGTTCTCCTGGAGCCCCTAAGTAGGATCAGGCAACTGGCTTCTGCCTGGCATGCTGTAATACCTGGCATAGTAGGCAATCACATAAGGATGTTTCCTGATTGGGTGGAAATGTGAAATGCTTGAAGTTGCTCAATTTCTTTTAGTTATGTTCTGGGAAACTGCTGCTGCTATATGGGCATTGGGTTAACCTTGTTTAGAGGAGAAGGCATCCAAATTTTTTTTTTTTTAAATTTAGGCCCCAACAATTTCTTCTTCCCATTATAGGCCTGTTTCTTAAGGGGACAAGGTATCTTCGCCCACAGGTCCAAAACTCTTTACCAGGAGGAAAGGGCTACACTCCAATGGTGTCCTTTGGGAATGATCTGTATTTAGATTGAAAGCCAAGAGTCTTGGGAGAGGGACTGCATTTATTGAGAAAAAGCTGGCTTCCTATCTTCTCATCCTGGTAGTTTTTATTACCCCTCAACCTCTTGTGTTTTAATTGGGCTCTTCATCCCATGTCTTCCTGTATGCATTAGGCTCTTCCTTACCTCTCATTCCTGTTTGTTCTTCAAGTCCTAGTCTCCCTGACCCCTCCTCAGCCCCCAACATCTTGCTCTAGATTCTCCCTTGGGTCCCAGGGAAAGCCACAAATACTGTAGAGACAGTGATGCAAAAAGTACACCTTAATAGACTACTGGCAACAGACTGAGATTTATGAGACTAGGCCAGTTTTGTTCCGATGCTTCTCCTGAGGGGATTTCCAGTTGTTACCTCTCATGAGAGTGAGCACAGTTCCCTTGTACACGCCTCGAATTCCAGCCTCACGATATAGCTGCTTCATACAGTCCACTGGGCCACTGTACTTAATTTCACCTGATGCAGCTTGGATCTGGAGAATTAAAGTGAATGATCACCAGCCAGAAACCACAACCCAAGCAGTGATGTGAGAGCTTTGTGCTTTCTAAAGCTAAAATGTAAGTATAACTGTTAAAGCTCAGCCCTTTCCACACAAGCAGAAGCAGCTCAAGGGACAAATTCCATGTGATTTCTATGGATATTTAGACAAAATGATATATTGCAAGCCAGGACACTGGAGCCAGATGCTCTTCTCTTCAGGTTCTCTTCCATTTTACTGCTACGATTTCCCCTTGATAGGCAGCAAACATGACTGTGATGCAGGCCCTTGTATCACCAGAGCAGATCAGCACCAGTGGTAAGACAGGCTGATCGCAAATTAAAAGTGGGCACAACTCTCCAGCATGAAAGTAATCACCAGCTATCAGAGAGGCAAGCACCCATAACACATTTTCGATATCACTACTAGGATCTCTTACATTTACCAACATTTCTCTCCTACTGAGACTGAGAAGGATTTAGTTCTGTGCGTGTCTGCCAATCTATGCTTTGGTTAGATGATGTTTAACTAAGGGACAAAGTCCTCTCATGTTCACCAGTGTAAACTTAAAATAACAGTCAGCTGGGGTACTCCACATTTACAGTGATCAGAATCTAACCCCAATTTAATTTTATGAAATTCAGACAATTTCTGTAAGTTCTAGACATCCTGTGATAATGCTTTGTATGTAAGAACCAGTGTCTGACATCTACCACCACTGTAACAAATGGCAGATTGGTGAAATAGGCGGATCTGATTTTTGCCACAGATGATGCGACTGAATAAACAAAAATGTTTCCTACCACACTTTAGAAAGCCAGAACAGTGACTGATCTTGACTGTATGAATACTGGGACAATTTTACAATACCTGCTCCACATATTTTAAAATACATTCTTCGGTTACATGCGTGGACACCTGAGAATCTGGTGCAGAATCTTTATCATTGTTACCAGACCTAATAAACTTATGGGTTGTTCTCTAGGCTTCATTCTCCAAGAGAAAACTGGATACTTCCTACATTTCAGAAGTGCCTAAAACATCAGATGTCATTTTAGTAAAATGCATGTGCTCTGTATCATGTGTAGAGGAGTGAATGCTGTATTTACCTAACAGGCTGTCAAAGGGAGCTGCACAGCGTTTCTCCATGACAGAAACGCATCAAATTATACTTCAGCCTGCTGAAATAGGTTTTCTAAATTTGGTAGAAAATATGCTAATCAGAGGAGTTATAGCATCCTGCCAGGACTTCACAGAGCAAATTATAAAAGTCTGGTAAAATTCCCACCACTGCCCAATGCCTTACCTGCAAAAGGCACTTGATCCTTTCTCCCGGTGCCATGATTGCCGTTGTGAACACTCCAGATAACATGCCAGCAGCAAACAGCTGAGGATAACTGCACAGAGTAACCAGGAAAAAAACTAAAGGTCCTGTGATTCATTATCCGTAAACATGATAGTTGGGGATAATCCTGCTTTGAGCAGGGGGTTGGACTAGATGACCTCCTAACATCCCTTCCAACCCTAATTTTCTATGATTTCATAACATAAAAATCAAAGGCAGTAAGGTCTCGTTACAATGAGTCTTCACAGCCCATCCCTCTAAATTACAGACAAGACTGGCCGTGGAATTTGTGATAGCTCCATTTCAAGAACAGTCAGTACAAAAGAACTTCGTTAATGCAGCGTTACAAGTTAAATACTTCAGAGACTGGAAATTCAATGCTATGGTTCCCACAGAAACCGCCACTCAACTTCCTTGCATTAGTAGTACTTGCTATAATTTACTGTGCTTAGGTTTTATGCTATTGCCTTCCTCACCAACACCTGGTTTTCTCTCGTCCTACTCACTCTCTCTCCTTGCTGATTTCAGCTTCCATGTTGACAAGCCATCCAACTCCCTGGATAAGCATTTCCTTGCCATCTTCTCTTCGTTTGACCTGCAGCCACAACTGAACTCTCAAGCTCATCACAAGACCCAGTTTCTCAGCCTAGTCTCCCTAAAACGTCATTATCTTTGATCCATCTGTCACAGAGCTCCCCTCTCTGACCATCACCTACATGTCTTTCAGCATGGCTTTGCCAGTCCCAACAATCTCCTATCTGTCTTCTCCCTCCCTTGATATATCCAAAGGGATGACTGGATTACAATGTCTCAAAACAAAGGCTGATCATGGAAATACCTTTTTGGCCTCAGTTATAGCAGCATACCTGTGATTACTAAAACAACGTACTGAATGGATGTGTCAAGTTACAGCTGGTCCTGACTCGTGACCATGGGCCTTGTCAGATGGTAACACTAGAGTATGAATTCAGTCTTGCCACTCAGGTTCATTTAATAGTGGGACTGTTCTAAGTCTGTTGCTATGCAACACCTATTATATGTTCAATCAAAACAGAGTCCTTCTTTAATGGCTCTATTTTTACGTAGAAAGGGAACTGCATCGTATCTGCTCACACATACCGTCTGTTTTTAGCCTGTGCTATCAGTCCCACACTTTGAGAAGCATTAAAACTCATAAGCGTTATATTTTTTTTGAGAGATAAATTTATAATCAGAAGAGACAAATTTATAGCACATCTGAACGCGTAATTCAGCAAAACAACCTGAGACCCTTAAGGCATCTTTCTTAGGCTAGATAACGTGGAACTCACGTCAGAATGTCATCAGGTTTCCTCTGCTGGAGTTTCTTCCCCAGGCCAAATCCAAAGAAGCACACAGCAAACATGGGAGACACTCCGATAATAGGAGCTGCCATTCCTTTATAGAGGCCTCGAACTCCCTGAAAGACACAGCGAATTACCACAAGAGTTACCCTATTTTCTGTGGCATTCTACATGGTGAAACAATATCCTTTAGGGGGTTATGTACAACACTACACTTCGAGGGAAACAATTTTCAGTTTGACAGAACTCTTTCGATTTCAAACACTTAGGAGGACACAAAGTTTCCGCAACACAAAACGCTTCACCTATGGCTGCTATAAGGCACTCAAGGGACATAGCATAACTGAGGTTACTGGGACAAGGCTGAATATTGCTATGAAAAGGAGATGCCATTGTCCTTCAATTCAGAGACTAACACATGAATCAAGAATTTTTTGCCTTCAGTACTTTCAACACACTTCCATGTTTTCTCATGTTGACAGGCATGACTCACTAGTTCTACCTAGTTTCCATTATGCAAAAATTCTGTGTCTGAGACACCTCAAACTTCAGCTCAGCCATCTGACCAGCAGATGGTATGGAGGATCTTCAGTAAAGAAAAAGGCCTAACTTTTTTGCTGTATAAACAGGGAAATATTTAGTCAAAGTAGGTGGTATTCTTGGATTCAGCATCAGTGAGACTGTTCCTGGAACACCAAGTCCAGTGCTGGTGTCTGCACTTCACAAAGGACACTGAAAAGTGGGAAAGGATTCAGAAAAGAACTACAAGAATGACTCAAGAATTGGAAGAGGACTTTCTAGTGACAGACTAAGATATTTATTATTCTACTTAGTTTAGTCCAATTAAGGTTAACAATGACTTGATTACAAGCCTGCAAGTACACACATAGAAGGGAGATTCCCAAATTTAGAGGGCTCTAAACGAATGTAGCCAACAATGGGCTAATGAGCCAATGGTCGGTAAGCTGAACTTACATAAACATAAATAACTGGAAATAAAACACAAGTTTTTTTAAGCAGCGGGGTAATTAGCATCAGGAACAATTTATTGGAGGACATGACAGATTCTCTCTCTTTTAAAGTCTTCAAAATCAAGACCAGGTGCCCTTTAAAAAAAAACAAGACCCAGCATACACTTAACTCAATCATGTGACAGAGGCTTAATGCAGGAACTCCTGGCTAAAATGTAACATTCTGTGTTATGAATATTTGGTTTGACCTACATAAAAGTCACTTCTCACCTTAAAATCTATGAACCTAAACTAACTCTTCTTTTTTCACCTCCTCAAAGAAAGCTATGGAAGAAGTAAAGGCATCACTCACATTGACAAAAGTCAGTCTCTATTTTAGGATTTTCAGAGACAGCTCTGCATACCACAGGCATCAAGACTCCACTACCTACAACAATATGGCCAGCAAACACAACTGCCAATGCTCATTTCAGCCGTTAACTTTAGGTATACTGCAACGTTTCCGACTGTTGGTCTTGAAAAAGAAAAAAAAAGAATCACACAAGTGAGATCTAGACACAATGTCCTCCTCCAAATAGCTCTCTTTTGATTCAGTTCTGGAATCTGATGAAAAATTTGAATTTGAACCACTAGAATTGATAACCGGGGAATTTTATAGCCAAGGGGGCTGCATTCCTGCACAGTTCCATCCCAGCGATGTACATGAGCAACTGACATTTTTGGCAGGCATTGCAAACGCCACGCTAATACAGTACCTCTCTAACAAGAGTCTTTCTGAAACAGTCAAAGGTCCCAGAATAGAGTGGAGACTGCCCAGCCTGTGGCTTTGGTTGGGTCTGTAGTCTGACCTGTTGAGAGAGAGAGAGAGAGAGAGAGAGAGAGAGAGAGAGAGAGAGAGAGAGAGAGAGAGAGAGAGAGAGAGAGAGAGAGAGAGAGAGAGAGAGAGAGAGAGAGAGAGAGAGAGAGAGAGAGAGAGAGAGAGAGAGAGAGAGAGAGAGAGAGAGAGAGAGA